CTGGAACTCGCTTTGGAGACCAGGCTGGCCTCGAACTCACAGAGATCCGCCTGGCTCTGCCTCCCGAGTGCTGGGATTAAAGGCGTGCGCCACCAGCCCAGCGGTTTTTGATTTTTAAATTTGAAAATGTCATGGGAAGGGATTGTAAACTGTTAACAGCAAAAGTTAGCTTCATAAAGAATCGTTGTCAAGGAGCTGGAGAGATGGTGCCATGGTTAAGAGCACTGACTGCTCTTCCAGAGGACCCAGGTTCAATTCCCAGCACCCACATGGCAGCTCACAACTGTCTATAATGCCAGTTTCAGGGGACCCAACACCTATGGCAAAAACACCAATGCACATTAAAATTTAAAAAAAAAAAAAAAAAAGTTCGCAAAGCTACACAGAGAAACTCTGTCTCGAAAAAAAAAAAAAAAAAAAGTTTGTCAAAACTTAAAGCTGACCGAGCTATAGAATTTTCTTGCTATAATGGCCTAATTTTAATCTGTCAGCCACTGACTGGTGGAAATTCCATTTGCCTTGGAACCATCAGTCTGTCTAGGGTTGTCTCCTTGCTGAACTGTGACTCAAGTGCTGTGTAAAATGCCAATTATTGGAATAGGCAGCTTAACATGAAACCAGACTTATTTTATGAAAATTCCTGAGTCTGGGGGTGCAGCTCAGTTGGTAGAATGCTCACTTAATGCATGCAGTAAGCCCTGAGATGGCTCTCTAGCATCATAGAAGTCCGTCATGGTGGTACAGGCCTGTAATCCTAGCATTCAGAAGGTAAAGGCAGAGGGATCGTAAACTCAAGATCATCCTCAGCAATTTCAAGCCAGCCTGAGATACATGAGAGCCTATCCCCAAAACAAAAAAACACAACAAGAGTTCTGGATATAGCCAGTCTTGCAGGAAAGTGTTGTACAATTTGGAATCTTCAGGTAAAATCTCCTGACTGCCTTGTCCTCATTTTTTACATACCCTGTTAAAAATAATAAAGTCAGACTAGATTTAACTGGGGGTGTTTTTCGCCCTATCTTTCCTTCCCTACCTAGTAGATGACATCAAGCCATGCCCACGATGTAGTGCTTACATTATCAAGATGAATGATGGAAGCTGTAATCACATGACCTGTGCAGTGTGTGGCTGTGAATTCTGCTGGCTTTGCATGAAAGAGATCTCCGACTTGCATTACCTCAGGTAAGGTAACAAGTATCCATTGCTTTTGTCGTCCTATTCATTTGCTCATTTAGAGAAAAGGATACCAGAAAGCCATAGCATAGTTGATCTCATTTACAGAAAAAGGAAACTGTAAAAAGTTCCTTTAGGGGGCTGGAGAGATGGCTCACAGGTTGAGAGCACTGCTTGCTCATCCAGAGGTCCTGAGTTCAATTCCCAGCAACCACATAGTGGCTCACAACCATCTGTAATGAGATCTGGTGTCCTCTTCTGGCCTGCAGGCATACATGCAGACAGAACACTGTATACATAATAAATAAACCAACCTTTAAAAAAAGAAAGAAAGAAAGTTCCTTCAAAGCATGCCTCTGGTGTTTTCTCTAACAGCCTTGCGTAACAGCCTGCTGCATGGCTTTTAAGCTTTCCACAGTCTGGTTTTAGTCTACCTTTCCAGTCACGCTGTTCAAATAATCTGAGCTTGCTGTTCCCTGTGTCTCTTGCCTCTAGGTTTGTTCATGTTACCTTATTGGCCACAGCTGCTTTCTGACCACTTGAGCCTCCTTGTGTCATCCTTTATCTCAGCTTGTTCAGTTCTTGATGGGTTTGTCTGGGTTTACTTTTTTATTAAAGTCATTTCTTTTGTGTGTATATGCACTTGTGTGCACCATACCATACATGTAGAGGTCCGAGGACAACTTGTGGGAGTCAGTTCTTTTCGTCCATCATGTGAATTCCAAGGGTTGAGCTTAAGTCACCAGGCTTGGATACAAGCTTGGATACACTGAGCTGTCTTGCCACTCCTATCCCCCCCCCCTTTTTTTTTCTTGAGACAGGGTCTCACTGTGTAGCTCTGGCCCAGAACTCTCTATGTAGACCAGGACTCACACTCACAGAGATGTGCCTGCATCTGCCTCCTGTTCAAAGGTGTGCACTGCACAAAGGTGCAGCCTTTATTTGCTTTTTAAAATGGGCTATCTTATTGTGTCTGGAACTTGACATCCAATGCCACGTCATCCTCCAGCCTTCCTATTTCTGCTGCATTCTTCACTGCCATTCCTTTATCTCTTTTTGCTGTAAGTGCTGCTACTTCTTGGTACTTCATGGACATGTCTTATCTCATTAACTGTGGCCTTTTTACAGTTCCTTCCATGTAGTAAGCTTCTAAAGAACTGAGGGAATAGTACATCATACCCTAAAGGAGCTAACATTTACAAATGTCAGTCGTAGTATAGCAGCATTCACTATGAGATGAGGTACCTCATTTCCAGTTGAGTGAAAATCAGAAGGTGTATATATAGGGTCGTTGTAGAGACACAGGACTGAATAAGTCAGGATTTCTCCTTTTTATATTGTTAGCCTAACAAGTAGAGAAGGTAGCACTAAGGGAATGAGGTAGACGAATCAGACGTGGAAGGGCTAAGGGTCAGAGTAGCCATATTCAGAATAACAAACTCATAGGAAGGACATGAGGAGTTCTTTCCTCAAGAACCTGGGTTGTATCCGTTAGGTATGGTTGGGTGAGATGGCAAGTGCATAAGCTGTGTGGGATCTCCAGTGGTGCCGGTCTGGGTAATTGTCAGGGTGGTAAGGCGATGTAGACGATGGATCTGAGATGACAGAAAAAGAGTTTCCACTTTGGAGGTCTACCTCTACCAAACCCACAAAGCCCAGGACCCTTTGTCCTTTGTCCTGTCTAACAGATCTGTTCCTTGTGGCCTCCTGTCACTTAAATCTATCTTATTGAAAAGGTGGTTGTTGTTCTTATCAAGCCCTCTGGTGACAGTAGCTGTGTTTGTGATGTCGGCATTAACTTTAGCATGTTTCCTCTGTAGCCCCTCTGGCTGTACATTCTGGGGCAAGAAGCCATGGAGCCGGAAGAAGAAGATTCTTTGGCAGTTGGGCACATTGATCGGTGCTCCAGTGGGGATCTCGCTCATTGCTGGCATTGCAATTCCTGCCATGGTCATTGGCATTCCTGTTTATGTTGGGAGGAAGGTAAGACGTGCCTTTCTGTGCCTGCTCCAGCGTTGGCTTTGTTGGCAATAGTTTGAAGGAAAGGGGAAGGAGCTTATATTTCAGGGCTGCATGAAAACCAGCTGGTTTGTAGATAAAAATAACTTTAATTTCTTAAATGGATTTTTATAAACCCCCAGGAGATCTGAAAGTTCTTATTAGCATCCTGGGCCTGGTTTGTCTCAGTGACTTAAGGTGGAATGTTTAGCTTCATTCCCTTGAGCTGCTTTATCTTTTCTTGGATTAGCTTTTCCGGCATTCATTTATATTTTCCAGGTCTGGGTTAGGTTGAAATTTGAGAAAGATCCCTCTTTGGGTGGGTGGAGGGCACTTTTTAATATAACTTGCAAATGAACATTTGTCCTTTTTTTCCCTGGCAAAATCCTAATGTCCTGACCTGCTGACCTGATTCTCTTTTATTCTTAGATTCACAGCAGATATGAGGGAAGGAAAACCTCCAAACACAAGAGGAACTTGGCCATCACAGGAGGAGTGACCTTGTCAGTCATCGCGTCCCCGGTGATCGCTGCTGTTAGTGTTGGTAAGCTAGTGGGCCTCCAGCTCCTCTGTCAGCTGACTGTAGCAGTCAGCTAGCTGGCCAGGTGCTTTATTGTGGAGACAGCTTTTTGTGTATTCATGTATGCAGTGTCAGGCAGGGGCACTTGTGGGAATGCAGGAGTGCTGTGGAAGCCCGAGGCCAACCTCGGGTGCCATTCTCAGGAGCCATCCCCTAGTTTTTGAGGTAGGACAGGCTCTCATAGGCCAGGAGCATGCCTTTTTGCGTGGGATTGGACTGTGTCTTCGTGCCTGCAGATGCATGCTTTACCCACTGAGCCATTTCCCCAGCCTGGGAATGAAATCTTACAGACACACTTACTGTGGTGATTTTCACTGCACTGTGTTATCAGGGTGTGTCTTAGACTAGGGCCTGGAAATCAGTGCACACGCAGAGAAGGGTACATTAACAAAATTAAACACCATTTTTTTACTTTTCATCCTTTTCTTCTACTTGTTTGTTACAGGACTCACAAAACAAAACCACTTTCATTTTCTCTTAATGCCTCATAATATTTTGGGGGAATGAGAGTTTATTTTAGAAAAATGTTAACCTGGTCTGGTGGTGCACCCCTGCAATCCTGCAGTCCTAGCACTCAGCAGGTAAAAGAGAAGGATCAGGAGTTCAAAGCCACCCTCAGCTACACAGCATGTTCAAGACCAGACTGAGCTACATGAAACCCTGTCTCAGAAAAACAAAATTAAAAAAGGAAAAAATCGTTTGTAGCTAGCACTTCATGAGTTTCATCATTGTCAGCAGTGGTTCTGAGTGTTTCACAGTGTGGCCTTCACATGGGCCACAAAGACAGCATGATTAAAGACAGGAAGTGCAACCTATACAAGTGCAGCCAAGGTTAAGTCACTGGGACATGAATCCAGGCAGTCTTCTTGTTTGTTTGTTTTGTTGTTTTTAAGATTTATTTATTTTTATGTGCATTGGTGTTTTGTCTACATTGCATGTATGTCTGTAGCCAGGCAATGGTGGCGCACGCCTTTAATCTCTGCACTTGGGAGGCAGAAGCAGGTGGATATCTATGAGTTCAAGGCCATCCCAGTCTATAAAATGAGTTCCAGGACAGCCAGAACTGTTACACAGAGAAACCCTATCTAGGGAAAAAAAAAAAAGGGGGTGGGGAGGGGCCTGAATGTGTATGTGAAGGTGTCAGATCCCCTGGAACTAGAGTTACAGACAATTATGAGTTGCCATGTTGGTGTTGGAAATTGAACCTGGGTCCTCTGGAAGAACATCCAGTGCTCTTAACTGCTAAGCCATCTCTCCAACCCCGAATTCAGGCAGTCTTACTTTGTAGCATGTAACAACTAAGCTCCTCTGCCACACACACACACACACACACACACAGCAGTGTGATTGGAGAATTCAGTCTGAGGGATCCTTAACCCCATTATCATTCATTCACCAACTGTCTGATTTTACATGTGTGTGTGTGTGTGTGTGTGTGTGTGTGTGTGTGTGTGTGTGTGTGTGTGTTGTCTGTGTATGTGTCTTGGAGGACAGATAATGTCATCAGATCCCCTGGAACTGGAGTTAGACAATTGTGAGCTGCCATGTGGGTGCTGGGAATCAAACCTGGGTCCTCTGGAAGAACCAGTGCTTTTAACCATTAGCCATCTCTCCAACTTGATTGGTTCTCAGTTTAGCACTTCTGCAATGAAGGGGTGGTATAAAAGCAACATAACACTTCCCATGTTGGATTTTACATGTATGGTCTCTAATTGAAGCCAAGACATGCAGACCTTTGTGACTCTGTCTGCTCTCTGTTCTACCGGCAGCTTCTTGAGATGCCTCCTCCCCTTCCCCTTTCCCTTTATAGAGATTTGCTTGTGCCCAGTCTGGGAGGGGAATCAGGACAGTTGCAGCCTACTGACCTGCTGACATGTTTCCATCTCTTTCCCCAGGTATTGGTGTCCCTATTATGCTGGCGTATGTTTATGGGGTTGTACCCATTTCTCTCTGTCGTGGAGGTGGCTGTGGAGTTAGCACAGCCAATGGAAAGGGGGTGAAAATTGAGTTTGATGAAGATGATGGTCCAATCACAGGTAAAGGAAGGAATTTTGTTTCCATTTGAATTATGGAACAAAAGATGAAAGTCGGTAGAATTTAGCACATTTTTACAGAGAGATTATCATTGGATTTCTTTAGAGAATGAGCTTTGTGGGGGTAAAGTATTTTTAGCCTTTCATTTCTTGGTTCTAGAATTAGTAGGTGAATCCCTCTGGTAGTTGCCTGTGTGTGTGTCAGGGATGAGGCAGTCGGACTTGAAGTGACGGAGTGCGCCAGTGCTGAGAAGAAAGCCTGGGGTCTATCTGCAGCGCACTGCCATTTTCCCAGGACTCTGCACAGTTATTATCTTGCTTGCTTCTTACGACGGCACTGTGAAGAGGGAGGGCCAGGGCTGTCACCGATTTCAGTAGGAACTTCTTTAAGTTGTATTTATTAGCAAGAGCTTCTGCAGACCTGAGATGAGGGCTGGTCTTCTGACTCCTACTGAACAGTTTCTTCACCTACAGAGATGGCCAGAGGTCTTGGAAGCTTCCTAGTAGAAACTCCCATGAACTAGTCATACTTTAAAAGGGCCTGGAAATACTTGCTTATAATCTTAGCTCTGAAGAAGCTGAGGCAGAGGAGGTCAGAAGTTCAAGGCCAGTTTGGGCCACAGGAGACCCTGTCTCAAAGGAGAAAGAGAAAAACAAGTCAGCTATGGTGGTTCATACCTGTAATCTTAGCACTTGGGAGACTGAGATTCAAGGTCAGCCCAGGCTGAGTAGTAAGTCAGGACAGTCTCTGCTATAGAATGAGACCATGTCTCAAAAAAATTTTAAAGGAAAAAAAACACAGTGAGGCAGGACTAAGTTAGATAAAAGTAGCGGCAATGGAATGGAAGTAGTGTCTTGCAGTTAAAATTCAGTATGACTTAAGCGATCTTGAACAGTCATTTAATTTTAAATTCTTTTTTTTTTTTTTAAATTGGTTTTTCAAGACAGGATTTCTCTGTGTAGCCCTGGCTGTCCTAGAACTCGCTCTGTAAACCAGGTTGGCCTCAAACTCACGGAGATCCACCTGCCTCTGCCTCCTGAGTGCTGGGGTTAAAGGTATGTGCCACCACTGCCTGGCTAATTTCTTATTATTATTTCCTCATCTAAAACAAGGGCTGCTAATCCCTAGTTATTGGAAGGATTAAATACAAATGTTAATAGTCTGATGTGTGGACTTGTTTGTTATGTGAATATTGTACTTTTTTGCATGAAAATCCTCCACTCTGAAGAGTCATTGCAGGAAAATGCCTCCCAGCCTGTTTTGATGTTATGTTTCTCAAATGGAGATGTTTGGTTGTCCCCACAGTGGCAGATGCCTGGCGGGCCCTCAAGAACCCCAGTATAGGGGAAAGCAGCATTGAAGGCCTGACTAGTGTGCTGAGCACCAGTGGGAGCCCTACAGATGGACTCAGCGTTATGCAAGGCCCTTATAGTGAAACAGCCAGCTTTGCTGCCCTTTCTGGGGGTACACTGAGTGGTGGTATTCTCTCCAGCGGCAAGGGAAAATACAGCAGGTAAGGAAATAGGTGGTCTGTAACAAGCAGTGGGAATTGTAAGAAGGGACACACTGAGCCATTTCTCTATACCACGGTGATTTAATCACCAGTGATACTTTTCTTCTGCAAAGTTCACAATTCTCTGCATCATAGTGATGACCATTTAAAGAATAATGCTGACTTGAGATCTTTGACTGCTTCATTAGGCTGCCTGCTCTAGGACGCAGCAAGAGCAGAGGGCACTCGCAGCCTGTTGGTTTTATGCTGTATCACATTGACTCCTTGGTACTGTACTCTTTCTGATCTTCCTGTTCCCACTGATAGAGTAGGAAAATCAATTCTATAAATTTGTATTAAGAATACCTAAAGTGGGGCTGGAGAGATGGCTCAGAAGTTAAGAGCACTGGCTACGAGGGTCCAGGTCCAGTTCCCAGCAACCTACATGACAGCTCACAACTGTCTGAAGCTCCAGTTCCAGAGGATTGGACACCTTCACACCAATGCACATAAAATAAATTATTTTTAAAAAAGAATATATGAAGCTTTGTCAATAAAAATAACTGATTTACTTGCATTTTGCCAATGAGACCTACCGTAATGCCATCATATGTATCTAGAGAAGTGTAGCCGGCATTAGACAGAAACAGTTGAGTTCAGTAGGGCAAGAGTGGCCTTGTGGAGCACAGCAGGGCAGGAGGCGAGGAGGTACCTGGAGGGTCTCCACCTGGGCAGAAAGAACCAGAGTGACCAGCAGCAGCCTCTGCTGGTTTCAGTGCAGTGTGGAGAACACTGGGGAGGCTGTGGGAAGCCCCCAGAGAGGGCAGACTGCCTTCCCAGATCCTGAGCCACTTGTCCTGGAAGTTCAGAGCGAGACCAGATGGCCATTTGGCTGCAGAAACGATGCAAGTGACAGATGGCGAGTGGACTACTTCCTTCACCTTGGTGTCCTTCGTTCACCTGGGAACCTCTTTAAATAGATTGGGAGCATATTTCCAGAATTAATAACTTAGAATCTCCTGGGGTGGAACCTAAGGGTGGTCTATGTTTAGAAAAGTCTCCCCAGATGATTCTCATGTAGCCACTGGAATGAACCAGCCTCTGGCAGCCACCAAGTAGGTGGCCTGGTAGGCTTTGAGAAAGGCTGTACCCAGGGAGTGACCTGTGGCCGAGGTGAAGCTGGAGCACAGACCTGCGTGCACCCCGCCCCCACCTTACCCTCGTTTTCCCAGGCCACCTCGGTACATTCTTGAAGGGCAGGCATCTGAGGCAGAGTGGTAGGGGAGAGAGACAGGCAGCAGGGTGGAGGCTGCTGACCTAGCGTATCTTGTGACTGGTGTCCCTTGTTAGGGGCTCCCGCCCCCGAGTGCTAGAGTATTCACTACTGTGCTCTCTTAGAGCTGACTCCCCTTGAATGAGCCACAGACAGAGCCGGAGCATGGAGCGTGACTGCTGAGACTGCAGTGCGGCCAGCAGCTGCTGCGTCCTGTGAAAGCCTTTCCTTATGGGAAGTGCATGAGTCAGATGGGCCGACCGGCCGGGAAACCCATTGTGAGGAAACAGTGAAGTGCACAACAAAATGGGGTTGAGCCAGAAAGGAAGCAGTTAGGGGTTCCCAGCTTCGAAACCCCATTGGGAAAGGGCTGTAGAAGGAGGAGGAGGGTGAGGTTGGCTCCTGTATACCCTTGGTTCTCATAGCCTGGAGGTAACTTGATTAGTAAGTGTTTGAGTTCTGCCTGTTATGTGCAGGGTAGGAAGTCAAAGTGTGAATGAGGTGTGAGCTCTTCCTTGTGACGCTCACAGGAGTGGCAAGAGATGTGTAAGCTGGAACAGGAGAAGGTTGGGCACTCGGCTGGAGGTGTCGCTTGCTGGAAAGGACTGAGGAAATGGTAGTCCTTTGTTGCTAAAGACCTAGCATAAGTTTTCAGGCAGAGGAGGGGAACTTTGGAGAGAGGGCATAGCATCCACAGAGCCGCGGAGGGATAAGTGCAAACTTGGAGAGGCTGTGATGTCAGACTTAACAGGAAGAAAGAGAACCTGAGCAGCTTGCAGTTCGGCAAGGCCACAGGTGCCTGTTGGCAGGAGGGGAGCCAAGAGCTGGAGCGTTTAGGATGGTCCGATCTTGGCCGTCATTGACACTGCCTGGAAGGTTGCTTGACTGGGACTTAGGGTAAGGGGCTCCTGGTGAGGAGCCCTGTGCTAACTATTTCATTAAGGACCTGAGTTTAAATCGTAGCAGTGGGGATAAGCAGGAGACGATTTCAGCTGATATGTAAGAAAGGAGCTCTGTAGGCATGGAGATGGTTCTCAAGAGAATAATGAAAGAGATGTGTGCCAGGAAGCAGACTGCCCGAACACCCAGGTCTCTGTTAACGTGAACGTCCCCTCTTTACACAGGTTAGAAGTCCAAGCCGATGTCCAAAAGGAAGTTTTCCCCAAAGACACAGCCAGTCTCGGTGCAATTAGTGACAACGCGAGCACTCGTGCTATGGCCGGCTCCATAATCAGTTCCTACAACCCACAGGACAGGTATGTGGGCAGTCAGAGCCCAGGACAGCCTCCTCACTGGGTGCTAGGTCTTGAGAAGCTCCCTTCCTCATCCAAGGTCCCGTGTGGCGTCTAGTGGAGATGTGGTGTGCTGGTGAACCCAGTGAGCACTTCGTGGTCTGCAGTGTTCAGCATCTCTTGATTCTCGGTAGCACTTGACTCTTAGAGACTCCCTACCTCCTTCCTCCCTGTTTCTCTTTCCACCTCTTCCCTCTTCTTTTTTCTGGCTGTTGTAACAGTGTAATTATCCAAATGGAACTTGAAGAGCTGGATTGCTGTTGGCTGGTGTCTAGTCTCAGGCTTCTCTTGCCCTTTGCTGGATCTGGTTCATTTGGAACGTTGTGTCTGGCCTGGTGTGGTTGAGGTCCTCTTACTGCTTCTGACTGTGGTGCAGTCATAGAAAACTGACAAGTTGCTTTCACATTCGCATTTGATTAAGATAGGATGAGGTTCTTAGTTGAATTCTGGAAGATCTTTTTAGATGTTTTAAGGAGAATTTTTGAGGAGTGTGTGTGTGTGTGTACGCGCGTGCGTGCGTGCGTGCGTGCGTGCGTGCGTGCGTGCGTGCGTGCGTGCGTGCGTGTGTGTGTGTGTGTGTAGAAAAGGGAAAAATGAGTTCTACTTTGACCCATCTCTTCTAACTACTTAAGCCAGAACCCAGAAATATATTATGAGCAGCTCTACTATAACCTATGTATGACTCAGCACAATGAATTTTGTGCCCACAGAGAGTGCAACAATATGGAAATCCAAGTGGACATTGAAGCCAAACCAAGTCACTATCAGCTGGTGAGTGGAAGCAGCACAGAGGACTCGCTCCACGTCCATGCTCAGATGGCAGAGAATGAGGAGGAGGGTACTGCTGGCGGCGGCGGTGCTGGCGGCGGCAGTGGTGGCAGTGAAGAGGATCCTTCTTGCAAACACCAAAACTGTGAACAGAAAGACTGCCTGGCCAGCAAAGCTTGGGACATCAGCCTAGCCCAGCCTGAAAGCATCCGCAGTGACCTAGAGAGCTCTGACACGCAGTCAGATGACGTGCCAGACATCACTTCAGATGAGTGCGGCTCCCCCCGCTCCCACGCTGCAGCCTGCCCCTCGACCCCCAGAGCCCAAGGTGCACCGAGCCCAAGTGCCCACAGGCAGCTCGCTGCTCCAGCTGAGGGCCAGACTGTCCTGAAGCCAGAAGAGGATGAAGTGGAGTGAAGGCCCCTCCGGCTCTGAGAAGCACACTTGTTGTAACTGCATCTTTTGGAGTCTTTTTTGGGGGAGGGTGGGGATTTATGTATTTTGTTTCAAAGATTCTCTGGTCAGGGTTCCCCCAGGGAAGTTCTGAGAAATTTGCAATTTCTTACCAGATAAAAAATGAAATTTTTGCCTCTAATATCCCTCCCCTTATCCCCTCGTTTTTAGTTTTAATTTATTGGTTAAACTGATGTTGGCAATCTGTGAGGTGTGTCAAAGAATGTACATATGTATGTGTGTATATTGTATGTATGCTAACATTATTGATGACACATTTTAATAAAGATTTCTGTGGTAATTCACCTCATTCCACTGTCCTTGGCTTGGGTAGTCCTGCAGAGCCAAGTGTTGAGGAAGGGCAGTCTGTCTTTGATACTTGCTGGACCTGAGGGTTTTAACCCGAGGGAAAAGGTTCTATTCCATCCCACTGCACTCACAGGAAGCCAAGCCAGGCTTCCTGATACTGCGTGGTCAGGCTGAAGGATGCCTGGCTGAGTCTGTTGGAGAGGAAGGAGACTGAGATGAACTTGGTTGGCCCTCTAGAGGCAGCTCACAGTCTTCCTTTTGGATAGTCGCAGTTAGTCTGTAGAGTAGCGTGTGTGTGGAGAGGGCTACAAGTTAGGGAACAGAGTATTCTTTCTTTTCTTTCCCACCGGGGGCTCAAACTCAGGACCTTGTGCATGCTGTGCAGGTGCTCTACCGTGAGCTCCATCCCAGCCCCAGGAGCAGATCCTTGCTGGAGGAAGAGATGTGACTGCGCGATCACCAGGCAATAGCATAGGTGTTGGCTGTGATCTCAGGTACACACTCCCGCTGCAAACGCCTGCTCAGACTAAGAAATCAGGCCTCTAAGGAAAGGAGAAAGGAAGGTGCCACAAAAACCTCTGAATCTAATTTGACTGGATCTTAGACGTTTCTCAGAGCTGAGCTGGTAGTACTTAGGAATTTGGGGGTGGTCAAGAATAAGGTCCTTGGGCTGGGGGTGGAGTTCAGCAGAAGAATGTTTGCCCAGCATGTGCAAGGCCCTGGGTTCAGTGCCTAGCACCACAGAACAATAATAGTAATGCTGATAAATAATGTCTTTAGGAATGAAAGCTCATACAAAGAACTGCAGGGACAGTGGTCAAGAGACTCGATGCAAGGTTCAAGATCAGGCAGCAGTAACCTTTGTGACCAGGTCAGTCAGCTACTTTCTCGTGCCCCCATTCGGCCCAGTCCTTAAACTGTTACTGGGCAGCTTGTCTATGCCTTAGCATCGGGCCCAGGGGAAGAGCTAAAAGCATCCTCGTCTGAGGACCGGCTGCCTTTGTTTCTGTTCGCAGGTGCACCTGCTGGCCTGTGCAGTAAAGGACGAGGCATCCAGACGGCAGACAGACAGACAGACAGCCACTGTGGAAGACCGCGCCTCTCAGGCACTGCCACCTGGGAACAGGAAATGCTAATGGACTGTGCATCTCAGTGAGAAAGTGTCCTAGAGAGTGTCCCTGTGTGACTAAAGGAACCTGTGGGGAAAGGCAGGCAGTTTGGAAACCCCTGAGATGCAAATGATCCACTCAGGATTTGCAGTTCTTCTGAAACATCATCAAGAAACGCTTAGCTGGGATAAAGTCAAAGGCATTCTGTCAGAGCGTGCGCTCTAGAGCCAAACCTGGAGTCTCCCTGGGCGGACCTAATGCTATGGAACTGGACAGCCTCCTCTCCCGTGTCTGTTTCTCTTAGCCTGGTTCTGGGGTCCCAGGGTTAAGATGTTATACTGAAAATGCTTGGAAAAGGCCCATGTTGATAATAAGGAGCAAGGTCAAGGAGAGTCTGAGTATCTCTAAGAAAGGAAATCTGGAACTCAGACCAAAACCATTGATTGGCTCATCTGAAGCGCCCAGGCTCTAACAGCCGAGAAGGCCCGTTAGCACCACCTGGAGGAAGAAATGAGTAATGCGTAGGGAAAGTTTGCATTGAAATGCCGGACACTGAAGGTGTGGAATGTGGCAAGGAGGAAGGCTCACTGTTTGTCCCCAGGGAGCTTACACTCCCGGGGAGGGAAGACAGATGCCACCTCAGGGAGGAAAGGTGTGCTCGTGGGAGAGAGGCAGGCAGGGCTGCTTTTGACGGGCAGTATGTTAGCTTTCCATCACTGTGACAAAACACCTGAGATGTTCACCTTGTAAATAGGAACTGCCCGTGGTCCTGTGGCTCCACTGCAGTGAGGCAGAGCATCATGGTGAGGGCGGGGTGGGGCTACATGCCGGAGGAATCACAAAGAAATATCACCACCACAGCTAAGGACCAAGCTTTGGATAGACATTCCAAGCCCAAACTACAGCAGGGAGTGTAATCTCCGGGAGGGAACATTTTATTAGAAACCTGAATGGAGAACTGGGGGCAGGGGAACCATCCTGAAGACAACACAACACAACACAACACAACACGGTGTGACCCGAGCACCATGGGTGGAGTCAGGGAGCAGAACTGGCGGAGAGGCAAGATGGTGCAGTGCATCAGAACAGATGGGAAGCAAAGGTCAGGAGGAGTAGCGCTCCAGGGCAGCGGGTGTGCCTGGTCCCCTGAGGACGGATAGAGGCTTTGGGTTTGGTGGATGAGTAGTGTCCCAAACATACCACCTTGTGCTGCAGAGGCCAGCAAGCTGGGGCGTAGTCATGCCTTGACTTCCTTGAAGTCGGGACTCTGCAGGCAGCTCCCCTTGCCAGTGAGGTGCACAGACACAGTATCGACTCTAGTGGCAGGCAGGGAGGCTCCTGCAAGATGGTCCCACCTCAGACTGCTGCTCAGTGGCTCCAGGGTCAGTGGTAGCTTTTCCGGTGTGGAAGGGCATCCCCAGCCCTAGGTAGCTGTTGGTGGTGCATGTTCTTAGAACCAGCTGGCTCCTCATCTCCAGGGTGGTGGTGGATATAGCAGATCTCATGCATGTGAGGATCACTGGGGGAATCCTGAAGTACGGTCTCCAGCCCTCTAAGGATTTCCAACTCTACCTAAAATTTGTAGTTTGGGGATTTTTTTCCCCCATAACTGTTATTTTTGTTGTTGTTCCAGAAGTGGTAACAGGCACAAAGCTTAGCTCCATTGTGACTAAGTTGGCTTTAAAGGAAATGAAGATGTCGTAGCTTTGGGATATGGTAAACTCCAGTCACCTGACATACAGTCTTTCAGAAGAAAGATCAAGTATCCGCAGTGACAGGCTAGCGCGTAAGGAATGAGGTCGGACGACAGAGTGAGAAAGTGAAGGGCCCCCTCCGGGCATGCACAGTAGAGCCCCAATTTTTTCCCTTATAGCCACAAGGCTGGAGTACCAGAAATAAAATGGGGTTGTGCCAGGTCTCCTGTGTGATAGATGGGGCATTGCTTTGTCAAAGCAATGGGACCATGAAATGAGAATTGGGGATATTCACTCCAATTTGGATGAGCCCTGCCACCCACTGTCTCCACACAGCTCCCCTCACCAGCAGACACAGCATTCCTGACTGTCTTGTGTGGACGCCCTGCGGGTGTCACCTTGAAAGAGAATGCCCACCCTGTGCCCCAGAGACTTCCCCATCACTTCCACGTCCCCAGATGGGGTCAGGGTCTCTGCCTCGGGAAGATGCAGCAGTCGGGACTGAGAGTTTACAGGACTGTGGCATTGCCAGTGGTGCTCAGCAGAAGCCTGGGAAATGTGTGGATTTGATTCCTAAGGTGTCAGAAGAGAGGATGAAAATTTGTTCATTCTGGTTGAACTGGTTAGTATGGACAAAGGAAACACCCTGGATCCGGTCTGTTTACCAACTTTGGCAACAAAGGACAGCTCTCAGATGACTGGCTGGATAAAACCTTTTTTTTTTTTCAAGACAGGGTTTCTCCCAAGCTCTGGGATTAAAGGCCAGCGTCACCACCATCACCACACCACACTGGTGCCTTTTTTTTTTAAGCCCAGGCTCACCTCAAACACACAACGTAGCCAAGGATGACCTTGAACTTATTTTAAAATTAAAGTTCATTTTAGCAAGCAAAAGATTTTTTTGTTTGTTTGTTTTGTTTTTCGAGACAGGGTTTCTCTGTGTAGCTTTGCGCCCTTCCTGGAACTCGCTTTGTAGACCAGGCTGGCCTCGAACTCTCAGAGATTCACCTGCCTCTGCCTCCCCAGTGCTGGGATTAAAGGCGTGCGCCGCCACCGACACCGACACCGACACCTGGCTTGTTTTTGTTTTTGTTTTGGGTTTTTTGTTGTTGTTGTTTTCCCCAAGACAGGGTTTCTCTGTGTAGGTTTTGGTGCCTGTCTTGGATCTCACTCTTTAGACCAGGCTGGCCTCGAACTCACAGAGATCCGCCTGGCTCTGCCTCCTGAGTGCTGGGATTAAAAGCGTGTGCCACCACTCCCAGCTGCAAAAGGATTTTTAATGGTGAGAAAACAAAAGAAAGTAGAAGTAGAGGATGAACTAAGTTGAGCAGCCACACCTGACCTTAAAGCCGTGATCCTCCTGCCTCTCCCAAATGCTGCTGGAATTACAGAGTGCACCACCATTTGAGAACTCTACCATGCGGAGGGTGAACCCAGGGCTTCATCATGCCAGGTTAGTACTCTACCAAGGAAACCATCCATCCCAGCCCCTTAGTTCGCATTTCTGTTGTCCAGAGTTTTATAGAGATTATTCCTTTCACCACGAGATTGGAGATGTTAGAAGTAAAGGAAACACCTACTTTTTGTTTTTTAATTGAGCAAACCCAGGTCCTTGGGCATGGGAAGCAGGCATTTGCCTGCTGACCTACCTCCCAAGGTAAATGGGATCCTGACAGGGGCCAAGGGTTATTCCCTGGGGAACAAAACCTAAAAATCCTACTTGGTTTATATAAACAAAATTAAAAAAAAAAAAAAAAAAAAAAAAAAAAAAAAAAGATCTAGCAATTAGAGACCTGTCTGGAGCCTCCAAAATGGAGAACTGTGGTGCTGTGGTGCTGGGTCTTGAGCTGAGCAAGCACCTGAACGCCCTCAGAACCACATTAGACATCCAGCTTTCCACAAAGGTCTTAAGCCTGTGCTCAGAGTTCCTGCTCTTAGGGAAGTGGAAATGCTAGTCTTGAGGGATTACTTGGAGACTGTCCCCAAGCTAGCACAAATCACAAGGGATTTGAAAGCATTTTGTGGTCCAGTTATTAGAACAGAGGTTTTGGGGGTGTTATGGATTGAACTGTCTCCTGACCACTACCTCAAAATGTGGCCATATTTGGAAGCAGGGTTCTTGAGAGTGTAATTAGGATGTCATTCTGAAGTAGGATGCCTCCCTAACCTAATATGGCTGAGGCCTGTCTAAAAAGAAAATTGGGGGCTGGAGATGTGGCTTAGTGACAGGACATGTCTCTGATGTCCAAGACCTGGCCGTGGTCCCCAGCATCACAGGTAAAAAGTTAGGTAGACTGAGCATGGAAGAGAGGTGGTGGTAACTTGCGAGTCAGACTGCAAAACCCTCAATTTCTAAACACAAGGAGCAGATTCCCCCTTTCCAGCCACAGAAGCCTCCAGCACACATCTAAGGTTGCCAGCACCAGCCCCCAGACAACCAACTCCTGCTGGGAGACCACACAGTTTTAGCACTTTGTCAAGGGCCCAGTTAAGAAAAGGAATTTGGGCTGAGTCTCTCACGTTTCCATTCTGTGGTCTTCCCAGCTCCCATAGACTCAAAAGCCACTGACACTGAGGGAGGGAAAGCTATTGTGATTCAACAGCAAAGGAAACTCCTGAACTGCCTTCCCCCAAACAAATCATAAGCCAGAAACATTTGAAGTGGGGTGATTCTCATGTAACCCAGACTGACTTCAAACTTCCTGTGTACCTGATGATGAGCTTGAACTTCTGATCCTCCTGTCTCCTCCTCCTCCTCCTCCTCGGTGCTGGGATTACAGATGTGTGCCACCATGCCTGCTAGACCAGAGGTTCTCAACCTTCCTAATGCTGTGACCCTTTAATACACTTCCTCATGGTGTGGTGACCCTCACCCATAAAATTATTTTCATTGCTACTTCATAATTGCTATTGCTATGAATGATAACGTATCTGATACACAGGCTACCTGATATGTGTCCCCTGTGAAAGGGTCATTTGACCCACAGATTGAGAACTGCTGTCCTAGATAAACACTCTACCAACTGAGCTACGTTCCCCGCAGTTCAGGACTCATTCACATGAAACTGGTTTCTTTGGCCCATGTAGGACTTGGCTACACATAGCTGTTATTGTACGTATAATTCCCTTTATGAAGCAAACAACGCCTTTCTGTCCTGGAGCCCATAGCCACATGATAGGATGTGAACATGGACCTGCAATTTGAGCTTCCTCCAGCCCAAAGAGCAGAAAACAAGCTGAGTCCACCTTTCAGATGAACAGCGCATCCTTGTCCTGCATCCAGGACGCCTGGCCTCTTCAGCTCTATTGAAGTCTAGTCAGCACCCACATCTCCAGAAACATCACCAGGTCTCTGGCCACACAGGAAGTGGCAGGCGTCTAGGGACAAAATAGGTTCCAGAGGACGGGACAGTATCTGGAAATAAAGGGAATTTCTAAACCTGTGTCTTTAATACCTGGCACGTGGCAGTTCCTGCTCTAAAGTGAAAGATGAGTGAGTTCTCTGTTCGTCCTCCACCACTGGGTGTTCAGTGAGTTCAATATACATTTGGTTATACTGTAGCGGCTTGTGTTGGGGCC